TTTTCTTTTTTTTTTAATATTCAATGTACAGTTTTGACTTTTGTACGATTTTATTATCTGTATAGATATAGAATGTTAATTGTAAAACGATTTAGTGTTTAGTATCGGGGTGTCATTTTCTTTACAGAAAAACCCCTGAAAATAAATAAAAGATATTAAAAAAAACAAATAATGATGGCGATGTTGATTATCTTCTCATATTTTAGCAGATCTCCAAAACAACAGATGAAATAATAAGCCGAGTGTGTAAAGTGACAGCACAATATGTAAATAACATTATTTAGCGTAGTGCCGCGTCACGCAACCAATTTGTTGGGGCAGCCATCTTATATTGATTGTTGCACAGCGACGCTGTGGAGATGAATCTGTTTATTTGTTTATTAAATTCAAAGTCTGTCTAGAGAGATTTCATCCTTATTGACCCTAACAATCAATGCCATAAATGTACTTAGTGCAACTTTTACAGATTTTAGCCGTGTGCGGCAAGCGAATTTTAATAATCTTTAAATGCAGTTTCTTTTTACAAAATAAAGGAATGTTTTATTTGAGTAAAATGTTCTATCTGAAGTATTAAGAGTACTTCCTCTTCAGGCGGTATTATAAAATTTAACCCCGTATAATTAAATATTACTTATGTAAAAAAAAATAACAAACAAACACCACTCGACTCTCGATCGGTGTGCGATCACCATATTGAAATTGGAACGCTCAACCATAGACAATAACGATGGTATCGATAGCCGTTTAGCATACAACATCGTTTAGTTTGGCAAAGGCATCACTCATACAGCCGTTGGCCTTTTTTGTGACACAATTAATAATAATTGTTTTCTTTATTTGGAATGAATGGAGTTCAGTAAAATGGCGCCTTTAACGTTATGGGTGTACTTCCGGTAATTTAAAATCATAATTAAAATGTATATACGTACCTATTTTAATTATATAATTGCCTACCTTGTTGGTTTAGTAGTCGCAAGTGGACAGCTTGGCAAAAAGGATTTAGAATAATTGAGGTCGCTATCGTACCTTTTTTTATAAGGGAAAATCATCCAATGACTGCTCCCGCCTGGGTGAAGTGGGAGGGAGTGTCAGACTCTTACTGACTAAAAACCACCCCGTTCCTTCTCCTGCACGTCGAGCCGGAGCCCTGATAAACCGTTAGGTTCTCCGCGACTCCGAATCGGCATCAGCCCTGTTGGGCCCCATCTGTGGTGGTCTGATGGCTCTTTGAGCCGTACGCTCGGGTCTGTTTCTGGTCGGATGGGGAGCCACCCATGCTCGCCGTCCGCAGGCCCGCGCTTACGGTGGCCGGAGATCGTTAATATCGTACCTATGGCGGCAACAACAACGGCCCACGACCAATACCTAAACATCATTGATACTTTTTTGATTTCGAACCCTCATGTTTAAGAATCGAGCAGCTTAACCATCTGGGTGCTTACTCTTGAAACCAATCTCAATGTCAATGCAATTTCAATCCAATAAAATCTCATTAATTATTCAATGTCCAAATTAAAATGTAGTTGTTAAAATAGCATTCAGAGTAGGTACGGAATATAAAACCAAACTCAATACCATTTACTTCATTAAATAGCCACGCAATACGGATGTAATGGGCGCTAGTGTTGTAACTCAAGAGTACGAAATTTTACAATGTCAATGTCGATCGATCGGAATTGGATTCAAGAGTAAGTCCCCTGATCACCACAAGTGACCCGGTACAGACAAATATTTAAAAGTCTTTGTTCAAATTTCCAGAGTCTCCGGCGAGATATCTGTGACACCTTGTACACCGCTGACAATGGAATGAACGCCTTGGGTGACGTGAGACAATGTCAGACTCTTACTGACTAATAACCACCCCGTTTCTGCTCTTCGAGCCGGAGCCCCGGCAACACGTTAAGTCTTTCGTGGCTCTGCGAGCTTAGTGGCTACCTATAATATATTTTATTATATTTTTTATGGCATAAACGATCTGACGGATCCCCTGGTGGTAAGCAATTGACGTCGCCCATGGACACCTGGAACACCAGAGGCATTACTTACAAGTGCGTTACCGGCCTTTTGGAATTTGGAATTTAAGGATTGTTGGGGATTCAGGACGAAACACAACGCAAGCGTTGTTTCACTTCGGTTTTTTTGTAAAGCAGTGGTATCACTCCGGTCGAGCCGGCCCATTCGTGCCAAAACATGGCTCTCCCACACTTAAAATAAATAAAAAATATTTTCTAAATACTATTATAACTAGTTCACTGCCATGTTGATGGGCAACTTATTAGATGTGAAGTGCTTTAGTAAATCGGTACCTACCGGTGTATTATATACTAGATATGATCATTTAACACCTATAATACCTACTTATGTCGCAGACAGTGACGGAGAACAGCAACATAATATTTTAGATATAAACATAAGCATCGTCCATATTTGTACATGCAAAATAAATACTTAAGTTTAAATTATTTGATATTCCGCGGATCAATTTACGGCACAATAGGAAACATGCGCCATCTAGTATCAAATAGTCAAAACTGCATATTTTTTAATTTACTCATATAAAATCAAAATACCTATGAAGCTCAGTTACATAATTTTACATACATATTAACCACGTTCGTCTACATGCTCTATATTTTAATTACTTTTATGATAATATCATTTCCTAAACGCCGGGTAACGTAAAAATAAACAAACACCTCTTAAATCTGTTATCAACTTCAGAGACAATTTGGTAAGTTTGGAAAAATTAAACTTAAAAATGAAGTCATAAAAATAAAGTCAAAGTATTTATTTTAATTAAACCTTATTTGGTATTTTTGACATGTCAACAAATACAAAATAATTAATAGTCTGTCAGTCTGTCCGTCAGTGAAGCTAGGTGAAGCTAGGTGCTCATTCCAAAACGTAGATTCAAGTGGAGAAGAACAAGCAAGAAACTCCATTCGTTACTCTTTTTAAAAAAGTATGTTCTACAATGTCTCTGATACATATTCCAATACTGTATCTGCATATGTGAGAACAATGCAAAGACACGCTTGACGCATTATACTAATTATAAAACTTACTAAAATAAAAAAATATGGAAAAAATCGTATAGTCTTATTTTTTAGTGGTGCTCAGATATGCATACTGACAATCCATAAAAATAATTAATTAACTACCAACGACAAGTACCAATGTGACTTTTTCCGAGTTATATGTACTTTCTACAATTATTTAGACGGTAAAGGAAAACATCGTGAGGAAGCCTGGACTTATAATTTCTAATTAAATTATAAGTCTGAAATCGCCAACCCGCATTAAGCAAGCGTGGTGATTAATGCTCAAACCTTCACCGTGTGAAAGGAAGCCTTAACTCAACAGTGGGTATTTATAGGCTGTTGATGATGAATTAAAATTGAACGGCAAAGAAAGCTCCGTCGCTGGCTTCGACATAGGCATTACTCATAGGTAGGTACCAAACAGATATATGTTAGGCACTACATAAGTACTAACTAAATCACTACACTTGTAACAAGCTGCCAATCAACTCCGCACTGATCCGAATCTTTAATTAGAAAGCAAGTCAATTAATTAAAATGTAATCTTTAATGGCGTGATTGACGTTTAGATTTACGATGCGTCAATTATAATGTAACTGGGATACTCAGAGTCATTTAATGATTACTTAAACTATTCCTTAGTAACCATTTTGTTCCGAATACAATTGGCTTTTTTTGTAAGGACTGGGGTAGCCATTTAATGACTCTGATTACGGCGGTAAGTACAATAAAACCTGGTTAAGTGGGGGGACCTGCAATGTCGTTTCACTTATAGAGGTATTCCACTCACCCAGTGTCTCAGATATACAGGTATAAATAAATTTCATTTACAGAGGGTTCCATTAATAGAGGTGGACTTGGAATTACGTGTGAAATTTGTGGGTAGAATAAGAATGAGTAAACAAACAATGTTATCTCAGTTACAGAGGTGTATGCATATAAAATGTACTCGCTGTCTCAGTTATAGAGGTAACTATGATGATAAATCGAAAGAACAATTAATACCAGATATAGAATAAGAATAAGAACGTTTATTTGCACGAAGTATGGTAATTACAGGTAATAATAATTATAAAAAATAGTCCCACATGCATCGCCTACTGTTTTCGCCATGCAAAGTTAAGTTTTACAATATAATAAATTAAAATCTTACATTTAATAAAACCAATTATAAAAATATTATAATATTATAGAGGTTTACCTCGTCCCACTAACAGAGGTAATTCAGTGCCAAAGTGTTGGGACCTCAGCATAAGTTCCAGTTATGGAGGTTTCTCACTTATCCAGGTCCCACTTAACCAAGTTTCACTGTATTTTGTTTCTTTCGCCTCAACCGGGTGAGAGAAGTGATTGGTTGATTGTGTCCCTTCAAAAAAAAAACAAAAAAAAGTTTGTTTTGTTTCTTACATTACTTAGTAAGTTAGTTATACATATATCTGTGGCCTCTTACTTAGCGGCTATGTATGGCTATGTACAAGACAGTTTTAATTCTGAAAACATACCAATAAAAAAAAATTTGGTACGTAAAATGCATTTTGAATTTGAATTTGATTAATGTACAAGAAATAGTGAGCTTTAATTTTAAGTTATTAGAATTCACACTTTTGTTATAAAAGATTAATATAATTATCATTATATCAATATATATGATAATTATTGTACTTCCTTTCCCACCATGTTCCTACCTACATAATTATCAATCACTCATATTTAATTTTTATGTGATGAATATTAAAATTAAAATACCAATAAGAGTCCCAGAAATAAAATATTATAACGATATACTCATAATTTCGTCAGCATAAAACTATACTGAGCCCATTAATAAATGCATTAATCAAAATAAATTAGCAAAGTTTTACGTTGTAACGAAAATATTTTTCGCGGAATTTTATCATCTAACGCCATCTCGTATCGAGTAGCGCCACTAAAATCTATTTATAAAACATAACCTTGTCTATGGCACTTGGCACAAGTACCCGAGTGAAGTTCAGTTTTGACAGTTGTAATGTAACAGTGGTCATCCTAGTTTTTTATACCTCCTTGCATTTTGATACCAAAATATTAGATATTCGTAAAGTGGTATTACGTGAACAAGATGAAAATGAGAGCCCACGCACATCGGGAAAGGTGGAATGCGACCCGCTAGCGACGGTGAGTACGACTTAAGCTCCTCGCTACAATGCTAGTGCCTGTATTTTTAACTGATTAAAAAAAACCGTAGTCAATTGGCTGTTAACCTTTTAACTAAAAGCGGGAGACGCGTAATTCGACGCTATGCCGTGTATAATTTTATTACTATTCGCTCGACGGCGCATACATTAGCGGGAGGACGGTCGCCCACATTCATTTTCGTGTATAGTATTAAACGCCTAACTGTACTGTAATCGTTACTTATCAAACGTAATTGTTTCTTTATCTATATTAGTACAAATTTCATATTTAAACCCTTGATTGGGTGGAAACTGCTTGATAATACATATTAACTGTATGCAAAGTTTTATTATCATTCAAATAGTAATCAGTGATTGTGGCTTCGGATTTATTTGTGAATAAAATATTTGGCTGAACGCGAAATTCCTTTGCACATCTATGGTGCAAGAAATACTATGCAGGGCTCTTTATCAGGTGAGTTTTAAATATTTATTTACAATTTTTAATTATTTTTTGTATTTTTTTTTTAACAAAACTTAGTATCCTTAGGTGCTAAACAATAAATTGACTATGTTATCTATATTCTTATAAGATTATATTAATTTCTACTAAATTGTATCTGTTATTAAAAATAAAACAATGCAATAGACTAGACGGCTCCATAGATATCTCGAAGTTGTCCTTGTAAACAACTTATTATTTTTTATCTGCAAAAAAAATAAAGTTAACTAACAATTTGGTTTCTTAAGTTATTCAAAATTGATTATTTAATCTTATTGTATTTTAAAATGGAGGTATAACCATTAGCCTGATTTAATTATTAAACAAATTAATAATAAAGACACCATTTCAGCCTAAAAGACAAGAAGATCTTGATGTAATTTTAATGAGCTTGCAAATTTTATACATGTTTTTTTGTATTATAGCAACTTTATTTTTTATACACATTATTTATGAATATATTATGGGACATTATATATTATGTTTTAAGACATAAAGTTATAAATAATTAAATAATAATAAAAACAGCTAGGTTTTTATGTTTCAACTAAAGAGTTTTGTTCATTATGCAGCCTAATCTATGCTATTGTTCTTATTAAAAAGCTAATTATATTCATAAACACAGCTAATCTTATCATGGACATGAAATTTTATTGATTCTAGATTCTAGTGCACAGTTCGTTGATTCCTTCAATTTTTTTATTCAATAAAATTATAATTTATTGTAGATGTGTGTTCTGGTATATTTGAGAATTAATCACATAGATAATATAATATGAATATATTTATGATCTATTTTTAAAAAGTATACAGGTTGTTTTTTTTTTATTTTTGTCAGGCTATGAGCCTAAGTCAAAGTCCTTTATTGTAAACTGTGGTTACAGAATTCTTGTTCAGAGTATAGGAAATATTATCTCATTGATTCGTCAATCTATCATTGATAAAACCTCCATATCTTTTATTAAAACAGTTAATTTGTAATCTAACCATGTAACAATGATTGGAAAATATTTTAAATATAACATTATCTTTGAGATAGATATCAAACAATTTATCTTTTGTTAAAACTGTTTTTAAATGTAATTATCTGTTGATTAGACATAGTTTATGTAATTTTTATAATCTGTTAGCGTTCGTATCTCTTACATTAGCTACTGATCTTTTGGTGCGCACGTACGACATTTTTTGTGACGAATTTTTATAAATGCGTCAATAAAGATATGCATTAAATATCGCGCTAACTTTTAATCGTTGATAAAAGTTAAATAGCTTTGACCTGCGGCTTTATCTGCATCGAACTGAGTTATTGATTGCAAGGTTCGCGCAGTGGCTGGGTGCCTGGCTGCCGTGCAACATGTCGCGGATTAGAATCCCTCACAAAACGATTCTTTGGGGGCTTAGAACGTGTTCGCCGCTCTGATTGGCCGTCTCCAGTGATCTAACTAATCAGGACCGAACGCCGTCTCGTTTCGATAACGTTAAACGTCAAACAAATTTGTACTAGGGCCTCGGAGATCCACAAATTCTTGTTCCGGGTCTAATAAGCACGTGCCCGTATGTGTTTGTAAACGCACCCACGACATAAAACATCCTAGTGTGAGGCAACGGTAAAAATATCTATCTCCTGCTCCCGCGGCCGCCTAACCATTGTGTTTATCAAACGCGATAATTAAATCACGACGATCAATCTAATTCTTACTGATAGTCGACTGTCCAGGCGACACACGTACTTAGGTATCGTCATGAGCTAATGTTCACATGTAAACAGCAGCTCATGTAGTGCAGAGATTGTCCAGTCAACAAGGATGTAGCGTAGACTGTCCAGGCGACACACGTACTTAGGTATCGTCATGAGCTAATGTTCACATGTAAACAGCAGCTCATGTAGTGCAGAGATTGTCCAGTCAACAAGGATGTAGCGTAGACTGTCCAGGCGACACACGTACTTAGGTATCGTCATGAGCTAATGTTCACATGTAAACAGCAGCTCATGTAGTGCAGAGATTGTCCAGTCAACAAGGATGTAGCGTAGACTGTCCAGGCGACACACGTACTTAGGTATCGTCATGAGCTAATGTTCACATGTAAACAGCAGCTCATGTAGTGCAGAGATTGTCCAGTCAACAAGGATGTAGCGTAGACTGTCCAGGCGACACACGTACTTAGGTATCGTCATGAGCTAATGTTCACATGTAAACAGCAGCTCATGTAGTGCAGAGATTGTCCGGTCAACAAGGATGTAGCGTAGACTGTCCAGGCGACACACGTACTTAGGTATCGTCATGAGCTAATGTTCACATGTAAACAGCAGCTCATGTAGTGCAGAGATTGTCCAGTCAACAAGGATGTAGCGTAGACTGTCCAGGCGACGCACGTACTTAGGTATCGTCATGAGCTAATGTTCACATGTAAACAGCAGCTCATGTAGTGCAGAGATTGTCCAGTCAACAAGGATGTAGCGTAGACTGTCCAGGCGACGCACGTACTTAGGTATCGTCATGAGCTAATGTTCACATGTAAACAGCAGCTCATGTAGTGCAGAGATTGTCCAGTCAACAAGGATGTAGCGTGGACTGTCCAGACGACACACGTACTTAGGTATCGTCATGAGCTAATGTTCACATGTAAACAGCAGCTCATGTAGTGCAGAGATTGTCCAGTCAACAAGGATGTAGCGTAGACTGTCCAGGCGACACACGTACTTAGGTATTGTCGTGAGCTAATGTTCACATGTAAACAGCAGCTCATGTAGTGCAGAGATTGTCCAGTCAACAAGGATGTAGCGTAGACTGTCCAGGCGACACACGTACTTAGGTATTGTCGTGAGCTAATGTTCACATGTAAACAGCAGCTCATGTAGTGCAGAGATTGTCCAGTCAACAAGGATGTAGCGTAGACTGTCCAGGCGACACACGTACTTAGGTATCGTCATGAGCTAATGTTCACATGTAAACAGCAGCTCATGTAGTGCAGAGATTGTCCAGTTAACAAGGATGTAGCGTAGACTGTCCAGGCGACACACGTACTTAGGTATCGTCATGAGCTAATATTCACATGTAAACAGCAGCTCATGTAGTGCAGAGATTGTCCAGTTAACAAGGATGTAGCGTAGACTGTCCAGGCGACACACGTACTTAGGTATCGTCATGAGCTAATATTCACATGTAAACAGCAGCTCATGTAGTGCAGAGATTGTCCAGTCAACAGGGATGTAGCGTAGACTGTCCAGGCGACACACGTACTTAGGTAGTTATCGTCAGAGGACATTATGGTAAACCTTGTGTATTGGAAGGAGTTCCGTAGTCCAGCAGTTTTCACTCTTTGTTAAATACCTCTCGGGACAAACATACGTATTTAAATGTCGTCATGACCTACTAATGCAAAAAACCGAAGCAGTTATAAAATATAGAATTCTTGATTCGTTTCAAAAAACGAAAAAGACCAAGATAACATCCATTTCTGGTTTTGAAATATCAAAATGTCAGCTAGTTGGTCCGCCCCGCCATAGACTCCACCTCGGATGCATTTCTACACGTGATGTGCACGTGAAAATGCTGTTTTCCTCCACTGAGAGTTTGTTTTGGCATTTCTTCTCAGAGTAGTCAGTTAGGAAATGCCAGCCTCATCGTTCCCTTGTTAAGATTGACGTTAAAATCGTTGTGTCGCCAATTTACAGAAATAAATTCACTTGTTTAATACTTACATACATAACTTCACGCCAGTCTCACATGGGAGTACGCAGAGACTATGGAACGCCAATTACAACGATTGCTACATATCTCTTTTGCTTCATCAACAGTCATCAATCTTTAATGTCATAAAATTTGATCTTGATTCACACGTGGGTACGAGGGTGCGGGAGTCAGTCTCCTGGGACGGGACACTGGCGTTAGTTTTAGTCAGTAAGAGTCTGACAGTCTCTTTCGTCCTCCTCAGGTAAGGTGTCTCCATGAGGATTTCAAATTGTACCGTGGACGGTGACGGCAAAATACAATAGTTCATTTAATTTTGTCTTTCAATCATCTCAAGGATGTCGTCAGAACAGATTACCATCGGAAATTAATAATCATTTAAATCCAAAACTTTTAGATAAGATTACTATATTGTCTAGCTAGAGTTTTTTTTCAAAAATCTAAATCGATTTTAGAATAAAATCGTTATCAATTTCGGTCTTACGAGAGTGCTTATTTGATAGAGACCGGACAACAATATTTTCTGAATAACCAGAATTGAACCCGCCTGCTGACGTGAATATCATGATAAACCCCTCTTATGTAGACGATGGTCATAGTCGAACAATGGACAGCCACCAACTGTTGTCTACAGTGTACGTACGTATATTTAACCCTTTGCGGAGCGAGGGGGACTGGGATGCCATCTCCTCCTTTTACGAAGCAGTCATGCTAGCTAAGGAGGAGGCGGGACGCGTGAGGCAGCGAAGCGCTGCCTCCTCGCAACCCAGCCATCGCGAAGGACACATCGGGTGTCAGGGATCGCAG